CTTGTAAAAAGAAGCTGATTGGGGATGGAAAGATGACTCAGTGGTTAAGAGCACCAGCTGGCCAGGCATACCTTTAATCTCAGCACTCTGGAGGCAGAGGCAGGTGGATCTCTGAGTTCAAGGCCAGCCTGGTCTACAGAGTGAGTTCCAGGACAGGCACCAAAACTACAGAGAAACTCTGTCTCAAAAAAAAAAAAAAAAAAAAAAAAAAAGAAAGAAAGAAAGAAAGAAAAAAGAAAGAAAGAAAGCAGCTGAGTGAGAGCCATGGGAGATAAGCTAGTAGGCAGTCTCAACTTTTCTTCACCATTTCTGCTTCTGTTCCTACCTTGAACTCCTGCCTCAGCTTCCCTCAGTGATGGGCTATGACCTGTATGCTAAAATACCTCCCCATTTTCAACACTTGTATGTTAGTTTTGGTCATGGTTTTATCAAGGCAACAAAATGCACATCTCCATCATTTTGCATAAAAAATCATCCCTACCTTGATTTTAATTCTGAGCCCTACACAACCTTTTGGGTCTTTCAATAAACTTGAAGCCATTGGGGAAGCAGGAGGAGGGAGCCCTGGACTCCACTGGGCTCCTGATGTGTTCAGGGGAGTCCCAGACAAAGGAAGGAAAGAATTCATACAACTTCACAAATTCTACATTCCCTATAGTAAAAAATGGTTTTCCTTTATTTTTTTAAATAAAATCTTTGTTTTAGTAAAAATTACATAACTTCTCACAAGTGATGCTCATCAATGAAAAAGATTTAATTCAGCTGGGAGGACCAAGAGAAAAAATTACACTCCATGGCACTTTCCAAGAAATAACAAAAGTTATTCTTGAGCTCAGTTATTGAGCTTGGCCTAAGATGGCTCAACAATTCCTATGACCCAGATAATGTGTGTGAGGGCCCCTTTCCTGTAACCGATACATCCATTTATCTAGTTAACTGTCTATTGGGGCCAGGTTGTAGCTCAGTTATACAGCATGTATGAAGACTGAGGTTCCATCCCCAGCATTGAAGAAGAGGAGGAGAAGGAAGAAAAAAAAAAAAAAACATCATAAATGCAACCTTGTACCAGGTTCTGCACTCTGGGGATTCAGGGTGGAGCTGTTCTGAACTCAAATAATGACACATGGAAGTATATGCTTGCAACTGTGGCCAGAGCCATAGATGGAGTTTGGTTTTCTTGGAAGCCAGAGACAGCAGGGAGGACTTTGTGAAGGAGGCAGTGGCTGATCCTAAGGAGTATGGCAATAACTAGAGAGACTGAAAAAGTGTGTGTGTCCACACTGGTAGCTGCCAGCTTGCCTTCCTCCATGATTGCAGACAGACCTGGCATTTTGTTTTTGTTTTGTTTTGTTTTTGAGACAGGGTTTCCTTCTGTAGCTTTGGAACCTGTCCTGGTCACTCTGTAGACCAAGCTGGCCTTGAAATCAGGGAAATCTTCCTGCCTGTGCCTCCCGAGTGCTGGGATTAAAGGCTCCCACCATCACTGCCTGCTCGGCTACTCTATTTCTTTTTTAACCACTTTCTCCTTTTTCTTGTCTCTTCCAAGCCTACGTATATTTTTAAACACATTGTAAACCTTTCAGAGGTTTTTTTTTTTTTTTTTTTTTTTTTTTCATCTGAATGACTCTTTATTGTATATCTCTTTTTCTGACCACATAAGTCTCATCAGCTAAACAACATGGCGAAAATGAAAGTGGATAGTTTAGCTGCTGGCTTTCCAACCTGGCGGGGGTACATTTACCACCAGCATTGGGAGTTGTGCTCACAGCCACGACTCTTGTCTATGTCACCATCAAGCAGCTTATACACACCATTTAATCGTTTGGTACCAGGGTCTCTTAAAGAGCCCTGTGCTTTTTTCATTAATGCTGAGTCTGGAAGCCTTGCTTAAAGGAGCTTATCTCTATAGCAAACAAAGCCAAGAAAATACTGCTACCAAGAAGCCATGCTTGTTTCTGTTCTATTTTATTTAGAATCCCTTTTTAAGTCCTTGTCAGATTTTACATGGAAAATCTCACCTCACATTGGGCTCCATTTTGTAGCTAGAGTTTCTTTCCAACCTGGTCCTGCAGGCAATGAGCCAAAAAAATAAACACACGAAAACATATTAATTATAAACTTTTGGCTGATGGATAGGGCTTCTTAGTTATTAACCCATAACTACTTGTCTATGTACTTTTTAAAAATATTTTATTTATTTATTTATTTATTTATTTATTTACTATGTATACAATGTTCTGCCTGCATGCCAGAAGATGGCACAAGATTTCACTATAGATGGTTGTGAACCAACATGTGGTTGCTGGGAATTGAACTCATGACCTCAGGAAAAGCAGCCAGTGCTCTTAACCTCTGAGCCATCTTTTCAGCCCATCATGGCCTTATCTTACCAGAGAACACCTGGCACAGCCTATCTTTCTGGTCTCTACATGGTATCTCTCAGCAGCCTCTCTCCAACTTTCTCTCCCCAGGCTTGTTTGGTAGCCCGGCAAAGCCAGAGCAAAGCCAGGTCTGACCAGGGGTAAGGGTGTGGGGGTGGGTCGGTGTATATGGGTGTGTGGGGGGGAGTGGCGATGTACAACTTTAATCCCAGCACTCAGGAGTCAGAGGCAGGTGGACTGATGGGAGATGTCCTTCTGTATATATGTTTCTCTTAATGGCTGATGAATAAAAAACACTGATTGGCCAAGGCCAATAGACAGGCAGGAAGAATAGGTATGTGCATAGTTGCATGCACAAACATATAGTGACTTGTAGTGGTCAGAATGAGAAATGTCCCCCATAGATTTATATACTTGAATACATTAGAAAAGTTGTTCCGTATGAGTCAGCCAGCAAGCATCTTCCATCCTACTGTTCCCTCGTCAGAGGTGGACTTTGTGAACTAGCAAGCAGGCCCACCTTCAGGTTTCTACTTGAGTTTCTTCCCAGACTTCCCTGGTGACAGACTGCAGCTTGAAATAAACTGAAATAAACTCTTCTTCTAAGTTGCTTTTGGTCAGTGAACTAGAACACTTGGAATATGCACATGTTAGTGGCTGTGGATGAAACTGAGAAGCAAGTGGAGGATTTGAATGTCACACCTAGGAATGGATTCGACGGAGTGCCGGCAGAAGGTAATGGAGGTCAGTGGTAGCAATTCAAGTCACATAGCTGAAGCCAAGGTTAAAATCGTGAGAAGAGGGCTGGTGCACACCCTTAATCCTAGCACCCAGGAGGCAGAGGCAGGTGAATTTCTGTGAATTGGAGGCCAGCCTGGTCTACAGAGCAAGTGTGAATATGGATGTCATGTGAATCCAACACACAAACTGGAGACTGTTTAAATTTTCTTCTAGAAGAGAAAGAACACATGTGACATACATTCCACTCCTTGACATCTTACTCTCATTATACATATTGCTTTACACTGGGCCTGGTGGGTAACCCACATAGACAGCCACTACCAATCAATTGGACTAGAGAGAGTAGAGTGAAGATGTTTGCCCTCCGCTGCCTGTCACCTAAGGCAAGTGTATTTCTGGTTGGTGTTTTTGATTTTTTTTTTTTTTTTTTTTTTTTTTGGCCAGTTTAACTGTTGCTGGAGATTTTTCTCACTGCTATATTAATTATTAAACAAACCATTGGCCAATGGCTAGGGCTTCTTATTGGCTAGCTCTGTCTTAAATATTAACCCAATTTCTATAAATCTATGTATTTCCATGTTCATCCTATAAATTTGCCCACTGTTCACCTTGGCCTTGCTCTAACCTGAGAACTTTGAGGGAGCAGATGGAGGGCAACATCCTAGGTCAGCATTTCCGATTAGCTCCATCTTTCTAAGAGCCTTCCATGGGCCTATAGAGCTTTTTCACACCCAAGAACCCATTTCAATCCCATAACATTCCTGGGAGATCAGGGCCATCACCCCACTTCACAGATGGGAAGAGTAATGTCAGAACACCTGGGTGCTGCAGCCAATGGTTGGCAGACCCAGATGCAGTAGAGGGCAGAGTCTCCAAAAGTTCAGCTGTTCTCTGAGGAGCTTATCTAAGCAGTGGCAGTTGTCAGCACCTGTCAGGATCTCATGCAGAAAAGCCAGAGCAGGTGAGTGGACATCCTGGGAACCTTCCCTACCAATAAAATACCTCCCTTCAAACGGCCTGGGAAACTTGACTTTAGATTGCCTTTGTCTAATCTGGTCTGGTGCCAAGTCATAAGCAGAGAAAACTCCAGCTCCTGAGTGGGAGTGAGAGATGATTGAGGTTGGGGGTAGGGGTGTGGGGGTCTCTCATTCAGGAAGAGAATAAGGGTTCTGTCCTATCCCAGTTGGAATGAGGGCCCTGGAGCCAAATGGCTAGGGCTGGGGCAGGGCCAGCCAACCTTTGGCACATGAAGTGCCATCCTGCATTCATGCCAAGGGTCAGCAGCTTGTCCCCAGACATAGTCCCCAGATAGAGTTCATGCTAGTGCAAAACAGGGGGTGGATAGTATCTAGGCATTGCTTGAGGACAAATGGAGTCCTTTGTGCTCTGTGCCCCGGGAATACTCTCCACCCTGAAGACTGCCCAGGGGACAGAACTGCTGATACCATGGCAGGCCAGGCTACTTCTGCCTTCCTGGACACTTGTTGCCATTGGATTTCCCTCCCTCTCTGATTTCTGAAGGTGCAGACAACAGCATCCATACACGCCTGGCCATGCCCTGTCTATACCACAGCCTTTAAAATGGGGTAGGTGAATGTGGTGGTTGCAAAATAAATGGGGGCTAGAGAGATGACTCATGGGTTAAGGACACTTATTGCTCTGTCTTCTAGAAAATGACACTTGTGGAATCGGTTTTCTTTCCATGTTTACACAGATAGATTTCAGGAATTGAACTCATGTCACCAGGTGTATGCAATAAGCACGTTAACCTACTGAGCCATCTGACCAGTGTGTGATTGTTATGGCAGGGTTTCATGTAGCTCGGGCTAAGGCCACTATGTAGCTGTGGGTGATGTTGAACTCCTGATCTTTCTACCTTCACCCCCATGGCTTTACTTCCTTCAGCTCTCCCAGCCACTCCTGCAGCTCACCCAGCTTCTTGGCCAGCTCTTTTTTTATTTTTGCTCTTACTGCAGTACACTGGTAATTCTCCATGTTCTCATTGGTCTGGACAGAAAGCAGCAGTCATTAGGACCTAAAGTGCCTAGTGTGCCCAGGCCTGCATATGCACCCCTTCCACAGAGCAAGGAAGGCTCCTGAATCATTCCCATGCACCCCAGAGCTCTGGCTTGCTGGGTGCTGTTACTAGAGTTTCTTTCCTGCCTAGTTCCGCTGCACTTCTGACCCAAATAAGCACACAAAGACTTATATTAATTATAAAATTGTTGGCCAATGGCTAGCATTTCTTACTGGCAAGCTCTCTCTTAATTATTAACCTATTTCTATAAATCTAAGTATTTCCACATGGTCTTAGCTTACCAGAGAATACCCAGAACTGATTCTCCTTTGGCGTCTCTTCTGGAGTGCTCTCTGCCCTCCTTTTCCAGAATCCTGCTCGACTCCTAGCCCTGCCTTTATTGGCCAAATAGTGTTTTTATTCATCAGCCAATAAGAGAAACATATATACAAATGAACATCCCCCATCAGGGTGCCTTCCCCACCACCATTTCATTGCTCTATCACTAAGCCACAACTCTGGGCTTTCAAATTTTATTAACTTTTAGGCAAGGGTACATGTATCTAAGACTGGTCTTAAACTTACTATGTAGCTGAGGATGATCATTTTGTTTGTTTTGAAAGACCCGCAGAGTATGGACCTTCACGCTCCCACTCAGGAAAGGCAACACCCCAAATAACTCACGAGAAGCGGTCTTGATGTAAAAGCATGAGGTCTTTTATATTCCAAGTGTACTGGGGTCCACAGTCATATGCCACGCAGGGGTAGAGGACCCTGAGTACAGAATTGACACAGCTTTTATAAGGTTACAACAAAGCCCGAGCATCTTAAACCAATCATCTCATAGCATCCAGAGCCTGCACAGTGCGGACCAATCAATTTAAACCATCCAAGCCTGCGCTTTATAGACCAATCAGTTTTCTATAGCCCCGGAGGTTGGCATTTGCGCGAGCTCCTGGGTGGGGTGACAAAGCTCATTTCCTGTACTCACATACTCTCAGGTCCTGTCATAAATAGCAAAGAATGTGACCTTTTGCCTACTTACTGCCAGGGGACCAGGTTTGGAATTTAAGGTATTTAGGGCTTTTTTTGACTTTTAGTTTTCTGTGGTCATTGGAGAGTTAGGCTGTATTTCTTCATCCTTTCAGTTTGTTTTTGTTTTTCCAGACATGGTTTCTCTTTGTATAGTCCTGGATGTCCTGGAACCCACTCTGTAGAAGACCAGGCTGGCTTTGACCTCACAGAGATCCACCTGCCTCTGCCTCCTGAGTGCTGGGATTAAAGGTGTGAGTGACTTTAAACTTCTTATCCTCAATTCTCCACCTTCTAAATTCTGGAATTACAGACAGGTACCTTCTTACCCCATATCCAAGAACTTGTGTCAACTCCACCAGGGCCATTTTTAACACATTTATTAGAACATCACAAAATTAGGCAGTGGTGGCACACACCTTTAATCCTAGCACTCAGTAGGCAGAGGCAAGTGGATCTGAGTTTGAGGTCAGCCTGATCTACAGAGTGAGTTTCAGGATAAGCTCCAAAGCTATACAGAGAAACCCTGTCTCTAAAACTAAACCAAAACAACAAAACAAAAGAGCAACACACCAGTAGTTCCTAAAACAATATATCCAGAGGGGGCAGGCAGTGAGCACACAGCCCTTTAGCAATGTGGGAGCAGAAAAAGCATCATCTCAGAGACACATCTTTATAACCTTTCAAATCTATGCAAACACCATCCCAACCCTATTTTATCATGTCCCAGGAGAATCAAACAGAAAGCTGCTTCAGAAATGACTTATGTCCACTCTGTGGCCTGTGGCACTCTTGCTTGACACAATTGGGGGAAGTTTCAAGCTGTGAAGTTCAGTTTTCCAGGAACTACCCCACATTACAGATATAGTTCATCCCAGGGAGCTTCACTTGGAGCACTCTGGCTCCCAAGTAGCAGGGAGTTCCAGTGTAAAGTTTAGGGCTCAGAAAAATATCTTAGAACCTCTCTGGAGGGAGAAAACTGAGGAAAAGCCAAGCCAACCAAAATCTGTTCCCATGGCCATGTTATCAACCTTTCCTCCCTTGGGATACACTAGGATTATTAATTCTCTGGTCCTTTCCAACATCTATTTTATATTAATGTTGTCATTTATAAGAATGATTTGATAGCGGTATACTTCTGAAGAAAATCTGTCAGCAATCATTAACAGCAATCATGTGTGTGGGGTATCTTATGAGCCCCATCCCTTCATGATGGATGTTGGTGAGCCCTGGGCATCTTATGCAGATGACCACAGCTGCTGAGCGTTTAAAAGATACAATGGTGTACTCAGAAGAGAGCAAAACCCTTACCTCTTCTTTGTGCTCTTACATTATTTTTATTTTCCTTTTGTCTGCTAGTTTTGATTTTTTTGAGACTGAGTATAATATAGCCTAGGCTATATTAACTTGCTATGCTGAAGCATTCCTAGACTGCCCCTGAACTCCTGACCCTCATGTCTCTACCTCCCAAGTGATAGGATTATAGTTATACACAACTGATGAGAAAGGTGAAAGTTAAAAAGTCATGATCAGGAAGGATGGGTGAGTTAATGGCTGCTGAATATGCAGCCAGGACTTGTCTACAGCTTAATGAAGAGTGGAACTGACTGAGCTATGGCAGCCTTCTATCCTTAGCCCTGGACCCAGCTGTGCCACAGAAGACCCCAGCCCAGGAACTTTGGACTCCAGGGCCCAGGAGGTGGATGAGGAATGCAGAGTCCCTTCTCAGGACTTTCCCAACTTCTCTGGACAGAGGTCCAGTCTTCCACTCATCAGGCTCCTCATGACAGGTTCTCCACACAGTTCCCTCCCACAATGTGAACCCCAACCTCGAAGGCCCCTGCACCATCCAATCAGATCAGGGGCACTTGGATCTCAGACCAGCCTCCTTCCCTACCACCTCCACCCCCCACCCTTGGTGGCCAGATCCCCATCAGCCCTTCAGTCAGGTTCCTCCTCGGGGCAGAGTCAGAACTTGTCAGGTCTGGGGGTTTCCAATATGTTGAACATGTCTGCCCCACCCTGCCCTCCTCTACATCCATCCCAACATCCACTCACTCATGTCAGTTCCCTTTAAGAGTTTCTTGTGACAATTCATCTCTAACCCATTCATTCCCGTCCTCAAGATTGCCCTTCTACTCCTGCCTGCTCAGAAGTCAAGCTTCTACAGCCAAGCAACAGCTTTTGCTCCTCACCCAGCCCTGCCTGTTTTTTGTCCTGCATATACAAATCTCCAGTCAAGGAATCTCTCCCCTTCATGCTGGCCACTCCTTTGGCTACTAAAGAACTTCCTAAACCCAAAGTACTTTATCTCTCAGACCCAAGCACTACTTTTGATTAAATTAGGAAAAGCTTGGTAATCCTGTTTGCTGGCTCTGCACACTACCCCAGGTACCATGTAGCTGAGTCATTGCCAACTACATAAGGAAAACAATAAGTATGGGCTCCTGTTAGAATCTCAGTAGCAAGACACTATCCTTTAGAAAAGCCCTTTAGGCTCACTCGCCACCACAGAACTGGGCCAATGGTAGCCAAAAGGCAAATGGCTTCACCTTGTCCACCTGTTTCTGCTATTGTGTAGGCAGAGCCTAATCCAGCCTAATCCAATATACTCTTCTGTACATTGTCATTGAATGGCAAAATCCTCTGTCTCTCCTGGAATGAGAGAGCTGTAGTTGGAATCACAAGTGCTAAGAGAAATGCTCTCTGGGGGACATGGGGGAGGGCATCACACAGGCCACTCACCTGTAGTTGTTCCTTCAGAGCTCCCTGCTCCTTTGCCAGCTTCTGCTGATAATCCTATTCCTGTGGGCACAGGGAGTGCAGTGTGTAGCAGGGCAGCAGTGATCCCAGCAAGTGAGAAGACCCCAGAAAGACACCAGTGGCCCAGGACAGGCCCACTAATGAGGCCAGGTGGTAAGGATCCTGTGGAAGGCAAGGTCTACCTACTCCCTTCCTATCTGTAGGAGGGCTCTGCTCTCCATCCTGCTGGTCAGTAGGTGTGAATCCCTAAAAGCCTGAAGGCCTTGGAGAGGGCACATCACTAAGGCCCTGGGTAACTGCCATGAAATTGACCTGCTACTCATTGTTCACAGTCTGCTACACCAGCTTTGTTGGAGGAAAAGGGGTATACTATCCGTTCTTGGCCTCATACAGAAAGATGTCAGGGCCTTATTTTCTCCACTTCCTCTGGGTGTTATTCCTTCAGCAGTGCCCTCTGGTTTTGTAAAGGGCATAGAAACTCCACATGTGGCTCCCATTGCCTTGGTCTGGGCCTCTGGCTCATCAATGGTGTCTATTTCTCTACAAAGGGCTGGGTAGAGTCTGTTTTACTTCCTCTATCTGCTCCTTGAGCCCTACCTTCTCTATGACCACTCCCTGCCCAAAGTGACCCATAGCTAAGATGGGGTCCTAGGCCCCAGTTGAAGACCTGTTCTGGCCCCATCCTTTCTGTTCCCTGTCAGAAAAACTTATCTACAGCTTCTTGATGGCCACTTTTGTGCCTGATGGCTCCCCAAGAACATGCAGTTGCTCAGGTGCCAGGGACTTTATTGCAAACTCCCTCTGGGTTTGTGCTGCCTGGGGAGTGAGGCACCAAGAATGTACGTTCTTCTCCATCAGCTCCCCATCTCCCCATCAAGCTGGGACTAATCTTCCCTGGCACTCGTTATAGATTTGTTTGAAAATGCTACCTGTGCCCAGAAGGGATGAAAGACCTGCAGAGGGCACGAACCCTCACGCCCCGACTCAGGAAAGGCGCCCCCCCCCCCCAAATCACTCATGAGAAGCAGTCTTGATGCAAAAGCATGAGGTCTTTTATATTCCAGTGCACTGGGGTCCACAGCCATACTCCACGTGGGGTAGAGGACTGGGAACCCTTGGTACAAGGTTCAGACAGCTTTTATAGGGTTACAACAAAGCCTGCACATTACAAACCAATCATCTCATAGCATCCAGT